CGAGCAACTGAGGTCGGTTTTTGTTCATTTTTCTGCACAGATTTTGCAGATAAACTGCTGTGACACTTTTCCCGCACGGAACTCTGTCTGTCATGATGATTCCTTGGTGATCATAAGCAAAGATCATCATTTGTTTGACCTTTGATTGAGATCGTCGAAATTTTTTTGGTTGTGGGGAAGATGGACCCCTCCACTCGTTGGGCTGTGATTTCAGCTCCGGTTCAAAGTCACTAACCCACGTTTCATCAATAGCGTACAACCTCCGACGAAAAGTCAAGACTTCATTCTGTCATCCCCGTTTGTGTAAGAAGTGCCCCATTCTCATTCATAAACTGCAAATGCACTCTGCCTGTGTGAATTACTGTAGCATATCCACCCATCGCTTCCCTTACTGGACAGGTTCACCTAAAGCGAAGAACAGGCTTCATATCTGCTATTTTTGTAATCTGTTACACGTTAAATGTGTTTAGTTACGTTTGAAATGGAAATTTCACGGAAACCTACGTTTAACCGCTTACTTGTGTAACGTTATCTTAATTATCAGTATTAATAAGAAGCCCCTTGCTGGGAGAAACACTATTTAGATCTGGAACTCGTGTTACATTAATAACATTTAAAATATTGTTCTTCTTATCAGATAGTGAATGAGGTTCTTATGATAATAATTTACTCGTACATGACAAATTATTATCCTCCTCCACTATACTTTATCTTCAAGTTCCGTAGTTATTTTTTAATTAGCAATCACTAAACGTTAGTTTTAATCTTGATAATTATCTTTAAGGTACAGCCTATAAGCCAGTAAATGGCCACATTTTATGGAACAAATTAAGTAAATGAAACAGGGATATTGTACCTCGGAATATATTCCCAGCTACCACCACCAACTTGCTGTACAGACCTTTGTGAGCCTTGGCCTCCTGCACCAATAACCTCCAAGCATCTCTGTCCATTGCAGTGGATCTCAAATCTTTAACTTTCAATATCTACTGAGTTCTCTGACATCATCAAACCACCTCAATTTTGGTTTCCCTCTTACTCTTTTAGTGTAGATCTGCTCATACAAGGTTTTCTATGGCATTCTGTTAGCATCCATTCCTTCTACATGTCCCAGTCAATGGATTCTTCTTACCTGTATAAATCTAACTATATTCTCTTTCTTCAGTATCTCATCTATTTCTTTATTATTTCTATTCTCCACGGTTCTTCCTGTTTTGTTGGCCCATATAGTTTTATTTCAGATCTTCTTAAATTATATATTTCCAACTAAACAGTCAAATAACTTGACATCACTAATGAAGAGTTCCGAAAATTGTTCATGGCCTTAATTTAATGGTTTATAAATTTATTTTCTCTCCGTATGGCATTAATTAATTCAATATTTGTAACAGTTTTTTTTCTGATCTCGCATACTCAACTCAATATCTTAAAATGAATTGTACTATGTTCTTGCAAGTGACTCCGTATAGTGTGGCACAGGTTTAACGAGATCCCTCCCAAAGTCTCTGAAGTTCTGCTAAATAACACGGCGTCACATCCCGCATGATCTCTTCGTAGTTCCCTTCTTAAAAACCTTAAGTCTCAGAAGGGTCATGAAATTCTTATTTCTGCCGCTAATATAATTCTTCCGTGTCTGTCGCCCCAGTCGGCCTCTCACTGCCCCATTTTACAACCGGTTTCATCTATATTTTGCATAATTTCAGTTTCCTGCGCTTCGCCTGACCAAAGTGTGACGTTCTACATATATTGAAACGTGTAGAGATTAACGTTTTAACAATATTTAAAGAAACAGAGAAAATGCGACAAAATAAACTGGACATCACAGCCTGTATACTTCAGCCATACATATACAAGTGTAGACACTGGCCAATGTATAGCAAATAACAAGTAACCTCATAATAAGCATACAAATAGCCTGATGATGGTCGCTAGACCGAAATGTGTTTCGATAATAATTACTTACGTTCATGAAACTTCTAGTATGCATTTATGAAAAACACATTATGACGCTACAATATAATATTTATGTAAAGTACCATATTTTACGTATTAATCTTTAATTTATGTAATGTCTATCACTATTTGGACAAATGAAGTGCCCATATATTAAAAATGACGCTCCTGTCCTACTGATCTATCCTGCAGCCTCAGTGAAAGCCAGACGGTGTTCACCTGATGTATTAACATTCTGGATAGCGAGGTCGGGAGAGGGGTTAGGGGAATTCAGTTGTCCTCCATTGTTACGACTTTGAGACATTCATATGGAATCCTGTCACCCTTTTCGACCGATCCGATCCCTGAATATCACCCCATGTCCATCAACATCTCGTGTGGAATAATTCCTGTGTACAAGATGCCGCTTGTTATAAATACAACAGGCAGTCTGTCCGTCCGTCTGTCGGCATGTGGCACAGGCGCCATTCAGTCCAGCCATCTACCCTCAAACAATCGCAACAGATCTAATTACGCATTTTATTGGGAGTCGCTTCTCTTTTTTTTTTTGTCCTAGTCCTTTTTAGGTGCAACAATGTTGCTGCTCCTCCACCCACCTCTTCTGCCGGCCGACAGGCTCCATACATTTTTTCCCTTTACATTACCGTCCGCACTTCCAGACTACTCTGTCCTCTTTTATGGTTCTAGTACCAAGTCTCTTTGGTGTTGTTTCTTTTTTTCAATCCCTCTGTTCTTTCATTGCCTTGTTATTGTTCTTGATAATAACTTCTTCCCCCTTCTGTCCCCTTCTCATTAAAGATGCTGGCTGTAGTATCGTTTTCTTGTACCCTGCTTGTGTTACACACCCCTCCTGCCTCTGCAACCCTTCACCTGTCCACATGATTACCTTGAGATCCTCAGCATCTCGAACCAATCAGATCTCAAGTCACTTAACTCTGAAGGTTTAATCTCCTCCCTCGTATGTGTTTATTCACGGGGGGAGGGGGGTTCCTATTCTGGACCCCCCTCTCAAGTATTTTAATTCATCTATCTCTGTTCCCCCTTACCCCGCTTCGGCCGCCCACGTAACCCCTCAATGATAACCATCAATCTTAGCGGATTGACAGGTTCCAGTACAGGGGTTGGAACTCCGACCAGAAGGACCTGCCGGAGGCTGGCTGCTTGACAGAACAGTCGCAGTGTTAAATAATCTAACTGCATGTGGCCCGTTAATAGGATGTTAATCTCATCAAGTGAGAGTCGTTCTTCAGAAACTGATGGTCGTTCAAGATATTTTCGCATTTTATGAAACCTGAAGATCCATTACTGTGTCCACAAGAGGTAGCCCCTGGACCGATGAACTTTCTCACGCATCGCTTTTCTCAGAGCCATCTGAATACTATCTCCCAGTTATGCCTCCCTCATTTAGGCTCTTGACTAACATTGTGTATTATCAACGCCCGCCATTTTGTATGATCTTGAGCCAAATCCAGACACCTCGCTTCATCAAAATCCATTTCCCTTTATTCAATCTCGGGACTATAAATTCAGCATCTACTTAGTCTTAAAGTTGCGCCATAACTCAAGCGGTTAGTCGCTGGCTTCCCACCTCGGCGACCCGGGTTCGATCCCGGGGTCTGGTCAAGTGGGGTTTGTGGTGGACAAAGCGGCGCTGGTGCAGGTTTTCTCCGAGTACTTCGGTTTCCCTTGCCAATCTTCATTCCAACAAAAATTCTCCATCACCATAATCACCCGGGGCAGGCTACAATAGGCCATTCGCCGTGCCGAGTGGACCCAGTTGGACTCCCCCCCCACTAAGCGAATTTAAAAATTAACTGAAGTTTCGGAGGAACGCATCGCCTCAAACTTCAGGGTAGAAGAATCCACGAGAGAGGAACCAGCGTGAGACGGCATTCTTCATAGTCACTGCCGTGGAAACCTCAAATCTTACATTCTGTCTTATTTGTCTTCCAAGTTGTCTTTCTTCCCCACAAAAATTCTGTGTACTTTTCTTGTCTCTCCTTCACCCTGACAGCATTCCGAGCACATCGCAGCTGCCTAGATTCCACTGTGCTTATGGCTGACGAAGCTCCTCCCCCTGTAATGTCCTAAATTGTCCATCGCTATTCGGTAGGAACGAATATTTGCATGAGTTATTTTCGGGAATTTATTTTAAATTTCTTTTACGCTCAAAACAAAATACGCTTGTTTCATTCATTTTTGAAAGACTAAGAATAACAAGGGCCTTCGTAGGTTTGGTTCTTACCGAATAATAAATTCAGTTAATAGAAAGTCCGATGTTAGTCTGTTGCTGCAACTAAGAGGGTGTTGGACTTCATAAACTGTAAATATCCTCTCAAAACTAATCTGCATGACCGTGTTTACTTCTCACACAACGAGCTGCGGCCGTAGCTGGTCGCACTTGCATGAACAGTTAACATTTTACATTTTGTAAGCGTTCAGACAACAGATCTGAGGTTCGCAGTTCGATGGCAGTGGAGAGCACTGTCATTGTAATGAAACAGGTTTACATGGGCTGGATATGTGAGAAATTACAAATCACAAATCACAAATGCTGGTAAGGGAATATTTTTCAAAGCGTATATTTGGATGATAAAGTAATATTTAAGGGCCGTGACATAGCTCAGGCGGTTAGTCGCCGGCTTCCCACTGTGGTGAGTCAGCTTCGAGCCCGGGTCAGGTCATGTGAGGTTCATAGTGATCAAAGTGGCAGTGGGGCAGGTTTTCCCCAAGTACTTCGGCTTCCCCTACGAATTAGCATCCCCCGATTGCTCCACAATCATCATCATCATCATCATCTATCATCTGGAGCTGGTACAATAGGCCAAAGAGTGGGCGCAGTACCAAATGGACTGTCTCACCCCACGAGAGAGAAAAATAAAGTAATGTTTAAACTGATTTCAGTAGGAAGGGGTGCGAACTGCCATGCAATTAGTAAGCGGGTGTTTATGAGTTTTTTAATTTGTTGTTAAATCAAGGTTAAATTTTATGCTTATTTAGTCAGAAATTTGTCTGGAACTCGAATGAAAATTTATTTCTTTTTGCAGGTATTTTTCTGAAGACCAGAGTCGCCCTTCCTGGGAGTACCATAGAACTTCAGCTGGTGAGTGCTTTCTCCACAGAGAGTTACTGAGATCTTGTAGTTCCTCCTTCCCGTTATATTTGTGAATTTTCCTTTGGTTAGAGCTTCTTGTTAGGCGAACTTCCAAGTTTGCCTTGAAATTTCTACTCTTCATTAGGTCAAGACTGATTATAAACATTCCGTTTAATTTAGTTTCCCTGACAAAAAACCTGTAAACCCATCGTCCGTAGGCTGTCAGTTCTTACAGTTGCCTAAATACGGGTACGTGGCTATGTTTCAGAGGAACGAGCAGCAGAAACACAGATTTCAATACAGCAAAAGGATTGAACACATCCAGAAGAAAAGGAAGGAAATGATCTCTTTGTACTGATTACAGTCATCATCATCATCATCATCATCAACATATTCTTATTCGGACTTATCTACACTTTACTCATACATCTGCTGGAAACTTTAATTGGCGCAAGGAAGGAGGTTGGACTAGAAGTAAAAACAGAGAAAGCCAAGTATATGTTGCTGTCTCGTCACCAAAATGCAGGCAAAATCATGACATAAAGATAACTAATAGACCCTTTGAAAATGTGGCACAGTTCAGATATTTGGGAACAACAATAACAAAACAAAACCTGACTGAGGATGAAATTAAGAGGCGATTGAACTCGGGTAATGCTTGCTACCATTCAGTCCAGAAACTCCTCTCTTCTCGTCTGCTGCGTAAAAATATAAAAATCAGAAAATACAAAACTATAATTTTGTCCGTGGTTCTGTATGGATGTGAAGCTTGGTGTCTGATATTAAGGGAGGAACACAGACTGAGGGTGTTTGAGAAGAGGGTGTTGAGAATATTTGGACCGAAGAGAGATGAAGTGACAGGAGGTTGGAGAAAACTGCATAATGGGGAGCTTCATAACTTATACTTTTCTCCAAGTATAATTAGGATGATCAAATCTAGAAGGATGAGATGGAAAGGATATTTAGCACGAATGGGGAGAAGAGGAATGCATGTAGGATATTGGTGGGAAAGCCAGATGGAAAGAGGCCACTAGGAAGACCAAATTGTAGGTAGATGGACAATATTAAAATGGATCTTAGAGAGATAGGATGGGATGGTATAAATTGGATTCATCTGGCTCATGATAGGGACAATTGGAGGGCTCTTGTGAACACGGTAATGAACCTTCGGGTTCCATAAAATGTTGGTAAATTCTTGAGTAGCTGCACAATTGGCCGCTTCTCAGGAAGGGCTCAGCTCCATGGGTGAGTGAGCTCACTACTGCTGGGACATGCAGATGTCGGTTGTGACAGTTATGTGATTACGTTCACATATATCTGCTCTTTCGCGTGTCTCCTAATTACAGAAATAGCAACCATTTGTTGAGTGACGTCAAATTGAAAATTGGGCGTCTGGAAATCTCCTGGCGACACGTGCTTGTCTCTTGTCGGTTTCGTTTGCTCCGGACCATCAATAACAGGTCAGCTGCTGTCCAAGGGCCACGTTACCATCATCCTCTGAGAATGTGTGGCGTTCCTGCGACACATTTCATTGTGAAATAAACCAGATCAACTCTGCTTGCTGCCTGCTTCATGTTGGATTATTGCTTGGCTAACTCTTCTACCCTGAAGATGGTGGCGATGTATTTCTCGGAAATGTCAGTTGAATTAAACCGGAAAACATGGCGTTACAATTCCAGACGATGGGCCTCTTCAGTCTGAATTGGATTTCTGCTCAAAATCATTTCGCAAACAATTAAGAATTTGTGTCAAATGATTGGTCATCGTTTCTCGTTAGGCGCTTTCAGAATTTTAGCGATTTCGTCAGGTTGTTTTTGGTAGCATCTGAATCGCTAATTCGATATTATCCGCCTGTGACTGGGACAGTGTTCCATTTACCAGTACCTTCGTTATATAATGCTGTTAATAATCTCACTCGCTGACTTATCACATTTCCTTCTTTTATGTTAATCCTTCATGTTCGAAAGATACTTGTGTTAGGACACAAGCTAAAGTATAAGCAGTTTCTGTTAAAAAAATTGAGTCAATTTATGTTCAATCATAAATAAATTTCTGTCATGTTTACATAAATAAATATCGTGAAAAATGTTGCAGGCTGTAGATCGTTATGAGAGCTATCCAGTATCCTGTACAATTTTCTTTTACAATGTATGATCTTGAGGGAGATGCACAGAGCGTCAGCTTTCAAATTACTGCAATTGTGAAACAGGGCATGATATCTTTTACGAAATATTACTCGTACTTTGACTCTGTTGCACTTATTCTCATATGTATGAATTTCAAGATTCTGAAATCAAATGGTTCACACTGGGGTCCAGTGGCGGACTCTTGAGAACAGGCGAATAGACTCTTGAGTCATCAAGAAGTGGGGAATCTCCTGATCAACTGAGCTACTAGCAGCTTCTCAACGATAATTCTGCACCGTGTAGTTAGCAGGGGAAAAGTAGTCTATTTGTGAGAACTGAGTCCAAGAACACTTTTACAAAGTCAGGTTTATAACATCAGAACTGTATTTCTTTCCAAACCAAAACTCTCTCGCCGAATGCATAAGTCATCATTTTGGTTGAACTTTATTTTGATCCCAAAATTCTGTTTCAGACAGGAAAGAGAGAATTTTGGATAACCCTGCCATAGGTCGATAAAAACAAAAGGGTAAAGAAGCCCTTCAAGGTGCAAATACGCAATGGTGGAGTGGGAGATGTTCGGCCTACCGAACTTCAGTTATATAGACCTGCTTGATATTTACAAATTTTTACATTGATTGCATACGAAACACACCAATTGCTTGTCGGTACATTTGGCACACAGGGCGTGTGGCTCGAGGTGTTTTACAACTCCCCACAGCAGAATTTGAGAAAGTCTGTTCTAACTCACACGCCACATGCATATAGACGTGTATATGTCCCTCACAACTGAACGTAGGCCCTGGCTTATCTGATATTTAGAAAAGGATATTGCTCTGATGGTTGTCTCCTGTGCAAAGAAGATTCCAGGCCGCCGAGGCGCTGTTCAGACTACAAGTTAAGAGCATAATAAAACACGCGGTAATATTTCGAAAAAAGGCGTACTTTTTATACTCATGTCCCGAAAATAACAGATTTGCTCTTACATGGAAGAAATGGAAATACGTATCTTAACATTAGGGTTTATTATGCAAACCAAGCGTCTCGAAACGGCGTGTAGCTTCAGCAGTTGTTTCAACGAAGCGCCACTATTTCTTTCTCTGTATTTAATTTTACTGTAGCCTAATTAAAACAAGTTCAAACATGAAGAAAACAGTTTCCTGGGATTTGGCACCGTGTATATGTGGTGTTAACCGACGTTTCGAAGGAACGTATCGCCTCCATCTTCAGGGTAGAAGAAAAAATACAGACACAGTCTGCTTTTACCGGTTCTCACGGTCTCTTCGCTTGCAGATTTCTTATATTTTTTCTTCTACCCTGAAGATGGAGGCGATACGTTCCTCCGAAACGTCGGTTAACACCACATATACACGGTGCCAAATCCCAGAAAACTGCTTTCTTCATAGTCACCGCCGTGAAAGCCTCAAATCTTACAAGTTCAAACATATTTGTCACTCTTTGTATGTAAGCATTTTTTCACATATACGCTTTACAAAATCAAGATCATTAATTCTTTTCAGCTTCAGACAGTTCATATTAGTGCGATAGAAGCAGAAGGAAAACCTAAATCTGTTAAGGGTTTTTTGAGAGAATTAGACTCAGCACTTGAGAATACTCGACAACATACGGATGACGTTATTTTAGTGAGCGGAGCAATGATAATATAAGAATGGTATTGTGGCAAGTATACCTGTTGCTAGGCAACGACTGCAAAAGAAGCAATTATATAACAGTCGTTACTGAGTAACACTTCTTATAATCACTTTGCACGGACACTACGGAAACACGGTCTCCTGTTGTCCAGAACACGCCTCTGCCGGTCCCATTACCTAGCAATGGATGTCTTTCTATTGTTGAGCGCTTGTGTTGCGGGAATATGCTTACCGATCCATTGTTAAGCAATGTAATATATCCGTACCAAATTTGGTGAATTACTTTCTTGGATCATAAATGAGTACTAGGAATTAATTAAATAATTTTCCTGGGGAGTAAAGCACGGCCGGCGCGTAAGACTGACAACCTTACCGCCATCTTTGAGCCGATTGTCTAGATAAAGTGGGACCGCCTTCACGGCCTGGTACATTAGTAGCTTTACTTTATTTATTTATTTTTTTTTTTACTTTCTTGGATATCGGATGCTTAGAATAATAATATGATGTTTGTTAAGGAAATAGATTGCGAGGTTTTGAGGTTGGCCGAATTAGGTTAGAACTTTGTCCAACGGCTGGCTTTGATATCTTCAGGTTTCGATATCATTCGGTTTAGCAAATTTCTTAATTAATTGCCTTTACTTAGTTAGGTTCTTGGCCGCACCATAGCTCAAGCCGTTAGTCGCTGGCTTCCCACCGCGGCGGCCCGGGTTCGATCCCGGGGTCTGGTAAAGTGGGATTTGTGGTGGACAAAGTGGCTCTGGGGCAGGTTTTCTCCGAGTACTTCGCTTTCCCCTGCCAATCTTCATTCCACCAATTGCTCCACAATCACCCTCACCTATCATCTGGGGCTGGTACAATAGGCCAGAAGTGGCCGCAGTGCAAGGGACTTAGTCCCACCCCACTAGCAATAAAACAAATAGTTGCGTTCTTGATAGGGCTCTGATAAGCGACGCAAAATGATATGAAATGCACATTCTTGTTGCCCGAGAAGCCTGTGTATATGTAACTACTTTCTTTCAGTCTGCAACGCGAAGTTTTACCTCTCCGCTGTAATAAATTAATTACATGACGAAGGGAATATGTATATTCATGACATTATCACAAAGCCCGAATCCTCTCTGGATACTGTTTCCTCAAAATACTTCTCACGACCGGAATTATTACGGTTTCCGGAAAGTGGTACATACTTTCCTTGTGTACTTCCGACGGTAGCTGCTTTTGTTGTAATAATGACTATGTTTAATTAATGTACCCTTTATGGTACTATTTTTATGATACCTGAACGAAGTTTCGTGCCGATGTATCTTGATTGATGCCACGGAAGGCAGCCAAATAAACCATCACGCAACCAACCCGAAGGCTTAATGTAAGATGATTTTATGTGCGAAGCGGATTTCGGTTCCCAGTAAAGCTGTGTATGTAGCATGTTGCGGCAATAACCATTAAATTAATTTCCTTTTTGAAACCGCATCGTATTTTGCCTCTTGGGAATATTTCTTAAAAAAATATGTTTTAAAAGAAAAAGTTAATAATACCATCTGCTAGGAAGTACCAGGTGTTTCGTGTGAAATACAAACAACCTGAATTTTCTTGTGAAGCTGACTGACTCTTCTTCCGGTAACCTACGTGGTTCCCTTTGTTCAGTGTTCCACAACTAACGAACCGGTTGATATGTATCAGTGACATATTAACTGTATCTTCATGCTGTTCTATATTTTTGAGGTGTGACGAAAGTTAAAGATAAACGTAAAAGGAATATAGGAC